TGTCTTTCTCTAACAGGTAAAAAAGGCATCAAACATGACACCGTGCCACTTTCTGTGTTATTTACTTGAAAAACAAACAGCGCTTCTTCTTGAAGCGATTCGGATTCTAACAAAAACAGTCCACATTCATTTTCCACGTTCAATTCAATTTATATTTCAAGTAAGAAATAAAAAGCGCCCCTTTCGAGCGGCGTCATTTAACTATTGCTGTCTGAATATGGATGTTTATATGTGGGTGTATCGGTGTGTATGTATGCGTGAAACTATGAATGCGTATGTTTTAACTCTGTGGGTATGGTGTGGTGGTAGTCCAGGCGTTACTGTCTTCAAGAGTCGTTGCTTATGTGTTACCGGGTCGCATTGGTAACAAAACATGGTGGAGGGTTGGGGTGGCACTGCCTACAATATTGTTTGGACTATTGCTGCAAGATTTCGTATATCGTGAGCAAGAGAACAAAAGAACTGGCATGCGTTAACTGAGGGCTTATGATGAAAGAAAGAAAGAAAGAAAGAAAAGAAAGAAAGAAAAAGAAAGAAAGAAAAAAGAAAAGAAAGAAAGAAAGAAAGAAAAAGAAGAAAGAAAGAAAGAAAGAAAGAGAAAGAAAGCACAGACAGGACAGACAGACAGACAGACAGACAGACAGACAGACAGACAGGACAGACAGACAGACAGACAGACAGACAGACAGACAGAAAGGACAGACAGACAGACAGACAGACAGAACAGACAGAAAGACAGACAGACAGACAGAAAGAAAGAAAGAAAGAAAGAAAGAAAGAAAGAAAGAAAGAAAGAAAGAAGAAGAAAGAAAGAAAGAAAGACAGAAAGAAAAGAAGAAAGAAGAAAGAAAGAAAGAAAGAAAGAAAGAAAGAAAGAAAGAAAAAGAAAGAAAAGAAAGAAAGAAAGAAAGAAAGAAAGAAAGAAAGAAAGAAAGAAAGAAAGAAAGAAAGAAAGAAAGAAAGAAAGAAAGACAGTCAGATAGCTAGACAGACAGACAGACAGACAGACAGACAGACAGACAGACAGACAGACAGACAGACAGACAGACAGACAGACAGACAGACAGACAGACAGACAGACAGAAGACAGACAGACAGACAGATAGACAGACAGACAAAGAAGAAGAAGAAGAAGAAGAAGAAGAAGAAGAAGAAGAAGAGGAAGTGCAATATTAACAATAACAATAATAATTATTATTATTATCATAAAACAAATTTTCATTTGCAGTCATTTTCTCATTCTGATCGGAGTTCCGCATTTACTAACAAAGGCACCTTCAGATGCAGGAAAGAAGCTGGCATTTCTCAACAAATCGACACCATTGCTTTCACCAGATACATGGTGCTTCTCACACGGTGGCACAGGTGTTCCTGCAGGATTCATGGACAACCCCACAGAGAAATCCCAGTGAGCTACCCTCAAGGCTAATATCATCTGCAAGCCTTCCCTTTGAGTGATGACCGTCGGTCAGATCTACTGGTTACTCCTCACGCCGTTTTTCTTCATATCGTGATTATCTGTGAGTGCCTCGCTCGCAAAGACATTTACAACATCTAGCTTCAATTCACAACCAAGTAATTCAGAACCAGACTGTCTGCCTGCTGTTCGTTTCCCAACACACTGGCATGACTTGGAATGGTGCTCATTGTATGAGAGCGGGAAAGCCACATAACTTGCTAAGAAATAAACTGGGTCATTGGCCAGGAACCCCCCAACCACTGTCGTGGCAAACAAGAGCACCAACCATCTGTACTGATGTCTCCATTTTTCCAGTTAGCTATACAATATTAAAATGAGTTAACCTGAATTTTTCTTTAAAAAATTACTAAATTTAATTTTCCTAATATAAATTTGTTTAAATTTCTTTCTTTTTTTTTCCACTCAACATATTAACACTGTGACCATTTCCGGTAGCTTTACCCCCATTACGTTGGATAAACGATGCCTAACCTTTAGCCTTAATGCAGTTCTTCAAAGTCGCGTAACTAGGCGTCGGGCGTGAAAATGCATTTCCCCGAAGAAAACAATTTACCGTAATGTGAAACAGAATTTAGTACTCAAAACCTTGAGTGGAGAAAATCTATGGATAAGCTGCTTTTTAAGAGGGAACCATTTTGCCAGGCGAGTTTTGGCAGCTTGTGAGTGAAAATGCTGTCATATGTAAATGGTAAAGTTAAAAGAAAAGTGCATTCCAAGATGAAACAAATATAAAAAAAGAAAATTGATGGATGTGACTCAAGTAAGCTGCCAAATTTGTTTCTCCCCTCCCCTTAACTTTCGCAATAAATTTAAACAAAACAATTGTGCATATACACACATACGCTACAAAACAGAACTGGGCACTTTCCTTAGAAATGAAAGAGTCAGATAATAACAAAATAAATAATATCAGAAAAGTTATCTCTGTGTGGAATCAAGGTCCTTTTTTAGTGGGGGGGGGGGGGGGGGGGGAAACTAGACCGACTGCCCCTTTGCATGAATGTCGTAACAAGCGGATAATTACAGGTTTGCTAAAATCTAAAGTTTTAGATCTAAACGCGTAGATATCGCAGCAAATCTGTAACTACACTATAATGTACCAACCGTCCTTTTGAGGGCGAGCGCAAAAGAAGAACAAGAACAAGAAAAAGGAGAAAGAAGGAAAAGGAGGAGATGAGAAGAGGAGGAGGGGAGGACGATGAAAAAAAAAAGAAGAAGAAGAAGAAGAAGAATAAGAAGAAGCAGAAGCAGGAGAATGAGGAGCAGGAGAAGGAGAAGGAGGAGGAGGAGAAGAAGAAGAAGAAGAAGAAGAAGAAGAAGAAGAAGAAGAAGAAGAAGAAGAAGAAGAAGAAGAAGAAGAAGAAAAAGAAGAAGAAGAAGAAGAAGAAGAAGAAGAAGAAGAAGAAGAAGAAGAAGAAGAAGAAGAAGAAGAAGAAATGTACTGCCATACAGACGTTTCTCAGTGTGTCATGATACCAAGCTCTCTTAACAGTTTCTCCTTCGATCTTCCCTTTCCGTTCTTCCCCTCCAACTGCCTGGCCTGGCCGACTACATCTTAGACTACAACAAAAAGTCTCTGGCGTCGGTCTCTCCTCTGTGGACAGAAGCCCGATCTTTTACGTGTGCATGAATGAGCTTTACATAGATCTGCCTGCATGGCTTCAGTCGGCATCCGTGTGTGTGTGTGTGTGTGTGTCTAATCAGAGTTGTGTTTGGTCATTCCTCTCTGTATGCTCTATCTACCCATCTACTATATATATATATATATATATATATATATATATATATATATATATATATATATATATATATATATATATATATATATATATATATATCTATATATATATATATATATATATATATATATATATATATATATATATATATATATATATATATAAATACGTAAGTATAGTTGCTGTATCTATATACTTGCCCACTGTGTCTACAAGTCTGCAGTATCCCTATAACTGTCTGCTATACTTAAAATGTCTGTATGTGTTTGTACATGCTTGTTGAATGTATGTATATATCAGCGGTATCTATATAATTATCTTCTGCAACCAGTAACTATTTGCTGTATCTATATAGCTAACTCCAGTATCAATGTAAACAATCACTGTATCTATACAATTACCTCACGTATTATATAATTATAGTTTGTGATATCTTCCTTGTTTCTACTGGCCTCTGGCGTTTCTAAACATGTTTCTAAACAATTCAGCCATTATTTATTTGTCATAGGTTGTTTAAGTTCATTGTTGTATCAATGTTATTTTGTTTTAAGATATATTCATTTTTCCACCACAGTTATTTCAGCAAAGTGGTCACGGTAGGGTTAAAATATGAAGGTTTACAAAATGAGTATCTTGTCTTTCTTCCATTAAATTTGATAAATAAGTACTCAGATGATAATTTGAATCTCAGCATGCATTTTAAAAATCTGACTCACTGTTGTAATGGTAGATTTAAAATCCACATCAATGGGTTACTAGGCAGCTCGCAGTAGGTGCCAGTTTGCACTAGTAAATTATGCAGCTATTGTTGCGTCTGGAAAATACAGCAGAAATGCCCATCCCTATATAAAACGCGCCATAAAATAGAGCCGCACATGAATTATGGCGCCGTTAAAACGGCGCTGAAACTTTTAAGTGCGCCAGAATTTTTCTGTGCCGAGAAAAAGGCTAGGACTGGCGCGGAGACGAAGCAACACCCCGTGAGAACGCGCTACATAAATGGGTTTATAGTTTCTGGAATTCAGCCGGTCGCTGGGCTGCGAATAGTTTTCACAAACACAGAAAGCAATAATGGATCAGTAGTTAGCGGAGCCGCTTTTGCTCCTTAGAATTTGACGGTAAGAAATGAGGCAATTAATCTATAGTGCCAGGAAGTGACAGAAGAGGACTGTTTAAAGAATACTGGAATAGTAATTCTGGAGATAGTGACTAAACAAACGATGTATTTTGTAGAGCGGGGTAGATCAAGCTAAGTTTATTCAAATGCCAAATGGAAAATGGGCTTCGTCGCCAGAGCTTTAGCTTAGAAAGATTATTAATACTAAGCAATTATCAACTGATCCTTGGGTCACTTGCTAGGCCTCTGGTGACAAGATTTGGTCCGCAAACCGGCAGTTGAATAATAGCCCTGAGAAGAGCATATGGACATGACCTGAAATAGACATTCTCACCATACTGTCTTTCAGGACATGCAATGAAATAATACATCCTCCATATACTGTATTTTTGGACATGATATGAAATAGACATTCTCACTATACTGCCTACTATCTTTTGTGAAGTGAATTATCTGTATGCTTCTGTTCGTATATGTGCAGCATACGCATAGAAAAAAGATACTGATCAGTGGATAAAGCAATACTTCCAGTCAGTCAGATCGATCAGCAGATTGGTTTATATGGTCAAATTTTAAGACAGATATGTGAGCGGACATGCTGGTATGCAGGTGAGCGGTCAAGTGGGTAAACATACAGACACACAGATGACAAACAGGAACTCACCTGTGTGAATATTCTAGATCCATCATCCATAGCCTGCAGCAAAGCGTCCGTTATATTCCCATCCAGGTAGGCCAGTAACTCCTGTGCATTGTTTTGTTTAAACATGCCTAGATGCAGATTCTCAAAGTCCACCACCAAGTCATCCCAAGAAGAAGAGATCTCGGAAATCCCAGACAAACAACCCCTCATGACGTTCAAACAAAGCCCTCGACATGGCTTCGCTGCAACTTGGCCGCTACATAAGGGACAGAAATGAAGCCGTGATATGGCTTTCTGGCAGTCTGTATGAACGAGAAGATTGTTGGTCGAATCCATGGTGTTCAGCATGACCTCGAGGGTTTCCGTGTAAATACGTGCCCTGTTAAATCCATAACGGAGCTGCATTCCGAAATGTTTAGGCACGTTTCCAAAAGGTTCAATGTCTTTGTAATGTTTCTCGAGGCACTCATTGAACGCCTCGCCCAAGCCGCTGGTTTTTGAAGCGTCACTGAGAACATAGTTGAAGGCTATAGGGAAGAGACTTTTGAAGAAGCTGTCAATAATCTCCGGTAGGTGCTGCTGGTCGCTGCTTAAGAGATATCTCCCCACCTTCTGGAAGAAGCTATCGAGGGCAATTCTGTGGACCTTTCTGGGAATTTTGTACAAACTGGACAGGACATCAGAGGTTCTGTTGTGGGCTTCTTTCACTGACAGCGTCAGGTGTTCTGAAAATACATGAGATACATGAATATACACTGGCGCTCTCAGTGAGTGTGAAGAGATAGGGCATTTATTTTGACAGCATCAGAGGAGCAGAAACCTGGCAGCTTAGACCCCATTAGCCCACTCACTCTCCAATATCGACAATAAGGAAGGTGAAGGCCCCCCCCTCCCACTCTCCAATATCGACAATAAGGAAGGTGAAGGCCCCCCCCCCCCCCACTCTCTCCAATATCGACAATAAGGAAGATGAAGCCCCCCCCCCTAAATTTTTAGGTTCTCCTTTTCAGTAGATTACACAGTATTTCCGTTAGCGTCTCAGGACAGTATTTTAGCATTAGGGAGTATATGATTTGTTTTATACAACCCAATCAATGTATAATATGCCAACAACATAGAATTTTTTTTTTTTAGTTTTATGGAAGCGGATAAATCATTCTCCATTTATTTCGTTTGTGAAATGTGTTTGATTTGCGTACAGTTTGGTGTATGTCGAAGGATGAGGAGCGCACGAAGAACGTATACAGAGGTACTACTGTATTTCAGTTTGTTTCCATGAAAAACGACCATGTTCTTCTGTATACACACATCTACAGAGACTCAGTTCTACTTGTTAATACATGTGTTACCCAGTAGTCGTCGGCATGTGTGACTTAGGCAAAAAATGCTGGTTCTGCAACGTCCTGTAAAGGATATGCAACTAACTAACCCAATATTTCCTCTGATATCCACTTCTGTCCGTTTCATTCCTTCTGTGAATGCTAATCAATACCTGATGTTGGTGAATCACCCTGAGGTTTAATACATGTTTTACGTCTCTCCGACAGCGGATTCACGGGCCCCGCCTGTCTATCGTCAGTCAGAACTCGTAAAATCTCCCGATAGCTTCTGGTACAACCGAGCAGGCAGACAGCTGTCTGGAGGAATCCAGCGCCACTTCAACAGTATTGGTTACCTACTGGAAGATATACACTGGCTTTTTTTTTTCTTCTTGGGCTTTTCTTTCTTTCTTTGGCTTCTTTCTTCGTTTGTGTTTCTTTCTTTCTGTCTGTCTTTCTTTCTCTCGCTATTTCTCTTGCAGTTGTTTTTTTTTTTCTGCACGTGTAAGTATATGTTTCTTTTTACTTTGACCATTTCTTTCTGGTTTTTCTGTGTCTTTCTTTCTACTGTATTTCGTTTACTCGTTACTTCAATGGTGGTTACCTTCTACATATGTAATATTGTGTCTTTTCAAACTAGCCGTATTTCTTTCTTTCATTCTCTCTCCCCCACCCCCTTCTCTCTCTCCTCTCTCACTTTCTCTCTCGATGCTCAGGCTGTTGTCTTTTGGCAATGTAAAGCCGGTAATTTTGAATTCTTGTTTGTCAAGATTAGAAAAAAAGAGACCTTCATAACCTCGAGAAAACAAGTCCAAATCACTATTTATTTCACTGTATTTACCGACTTAATGGTTTCAAAATGGCTCCCATGTTTGTTGTAATTCTGTCGTGCTATACATTGTGTGTTGAGGTGTACTATTTCAGCTCTTAGATAAACGTTTCACATTCTCGTAGCGTAGTTTCCGGCTACCCCCTCCCTTGTGAAATATACCCTAGATAATGACTCATGTGGAAACGGTGGAACAGTTCTGAGGTCAATACTGACATTAAAACCTAATCGATCAGAGATATGACCCCTGTCCAGTCCGGACTTGCGGTGACGTCGTGACCGTCGGGGGAGCCAATATAACCTTGCGGTTGAACAGGCCTCACCGGAATTTGTGAATGCCAGATTCTCATCCTTGAGGTGTTCATTCTGCGGATTTTGTTTTTCAATGCACCAGTTTTATGCCATCTGGCTCCGTCTCTCACAGCAAAACAAGTTGCCTGTCGAGAGCAGGAACACAGCATACACAGCACGAACTTCGTTGCTCCGTCGACGATCATCGGGGATGTAGGTAAAAAATGCACGCGTGAACCAAACGACCCAGCCGTAAAAAGAACTCAAGAGCTTCAAAGCGCGAGGCTAACAGCTGACCACTTCGAACCGGAAAACCCAATTCTGAGGACTACGATCCTGGAGTGGACAAACTACAAACAAATAAATTGATCGATCAGAGTCCGATAGGCGCTACAAGTCTGTCGACATTACATTGCGATGTTTTATCAGTGATTACATGCAGTTTCCGAAATCGCCGTCTGAATGCACCAGTTTCCAAACTATGCGTTTGTCGATGCTACCAATAAGAGTGTTTATTTTGTTGTATGGTGTACTGCGTACTTTATTTAGTCGCTGAGTTGAACCTCATCTACAATGCCATATTCCTGTAATTTCTTTACAATGCTACAAACAGAGCACTTTTAAGTACCATTTTTTATGTCTGGTAGTCTGGTAGTCCTAGTTTCAGCTTCATAGTAAACGGGTCACCCCATCTTTGCTCCACTCCCGTGCCAACGAAAAACACACAGGATGTTTATCACAGTCCCTTGTGGAAGGATTGACAGACTGCTGTCTCAGCATATCTAGCATACACTCGCATTAAAGCATATGGTAGCCATCCGAAGTGCTAACACAAACAGTCCGACATTAGAAATGCAGTTCATCATTGATGGTAGCAGAAGTCACCAACAGATCTGCAGTTGCCCACGCGATCAATTTTAATTACATACAGGCACCACCAAAATTGCGACAACAGACATAGTGCCATTTTCTGAATCTACAATTCACTCCACCACGTTGGACACAGTCGAAAAAACAAATGAAATCCGCAGCTCACAGTGTCACGCCATGCATTAAACTCAGAAGCTGGGCGACGAAACTGTATCCAGTCTACAAATGGAACAAAAATGCATCGGCCACCATCCAGCAGAAGCAAAAAATTTGCCTCGGCTCCAAAACAGTGGCCCACCTAGCGTCCTTTTTAACCGGAAGTCCACCATTTTTTATAACTTCTATATCCCCCCTCTCCCCCATCCTTTTATGTCTGCTATATCATACTGCATACAGTTACAATAAATCTATGTCGATGTACTTATTTTCCTATCAATCTCAGTTGGTGCCATCGAAAGAACACAGTTTAAGAACCTATGTGCCCAATGAATTAAACCTCCAGACTACAACGTGAGAACCGCCCCATTCATTCATATTTGGGCCCCCCCCCCCCACCCCCCCCCCCCCCACGTCCCCCACGTCCACTGCACCCGGCTACACTAAATCTCAGTCGACAGACCCATTTTCCTTTCGGTGCTCCCATTTTCCTCTTGGTCCCCTGTGGTGCCAGCTTGTTGTTTTGTGTAGTGCTTTGTAAAGCAACCGAACCAGGATAAGCCTCCGTTCACAGACGCGCCGCTACCAACCACTACACTACTAGACGGCGAATCATAACACGATTCGAGAATTTGTTGACAGTGTAACAGATAGCAACACACAGGCCGATGGTATGTCGGAGTACATTTTACATCCCTTCCCCTCGTCGATAAGGACAAGGAAGTGTTTGCACGAGTGTATAGGGGGAAAATGCTGGTATTTCACAGCGAAGTGAAGTAAATCTTAGCTGGCTTTTGGTCTATGTCACTGTAACTGATAACAAATCAAAAATTAAATATACAAGTCGGGTTCATACATTGAAAGTAGCATGCGGTGTAGACTTCCTTACAAAGGTTGTCCAAGGCATGTTAGTTAGTTAGTTGCGTATCCTTTACAGCACGTTGCAGAACCAACCCTAACAGCCCCTGGCTGTTGTGTAGTTTCTCTAGGCAAGTTACATCCAGTAGTTTGCCATTGCTTGCTGGACGGTCGGCTTTTTTGATACCACTGTCGAAACCAACACAAGGCCAATGCATGTGGATGGGTGAAAAAAAAGGGGGGGGGGGTGTGGGGGAAGACGAGAGACAAGAAGATATTAAACCGTTTGCTTTACGCTACTGTGTTTGGTTCTGGACTTCTTCGTTCGGTTCACGAGTTCGGATGTTTCGTAAATCCCTGGGGTCGTTACTAGATCTACCGAGCGTCGTGCTGTGTGCGACGCTTTCGGTGAATAAACATCACTTTCTTATGCGCAAACATGAATGATTTCATATAAGTTTCAAACACTATTGACTAGAGGTACAGTTTCATTCCCATAACTGAGTAGCTCTTTTGTTTGATAATATTCGGGAGTTTTCACGATGACTGCGCTTCTTCCACGATCGCCTCGTCATCCAGGAACTTGCTGGCACAGAAATGCTTTAACAGTTTATTTAAACTCCCATGTGATGTTGTCTGATTGCTTCATCCACCATATTATTCCATTAATTCTAACGCAGTCGTCATGACCTAAGACTGTTGGGCGTCTAGAGCCGTTGTCATGACCTAAGACTGATGGACTTCTAGCGCCGTTGTCATGACCTAAGACTGATGGACTTCTAACGCAGTTGTCATGACCTAAGACTGACGGGCTTTTAGCGCCGTTGTCATGACCTACGACCGATGGGCTTCTAACGCAGTTGTCATGACCTAAGACTGAAGGGCTTCTAGAGCCGTTGTCATGACCTAAAACTGTTGGGCTTCTAGAGCCGTTGTCATGACCTAAAACTGACGGGCTTTTAGCGCCGTTGTCATGACCTACGACTGATGGGCTTCTAACGCAGTTGTCATGACCTAAGACTGAAGGGCTTCTAGAGCCGTTGTCATGACCTAAGACTGTTGGGCGTCTAGAGCCGTTGTCATGACCTAAGACTGATGGGCTTCTAGTGCCGTTGTCATGACCTAAGACTGATGGGTTTCTAACGCCGTTGTCATGACCTAAGACTGTTGGGCGTCTAGAGCCGTTGTCATGACCTAAGACTGATGGGCTTCTAGTGCCGTTGTCATGACCTAAGACTGATGGGTTTCTAACGCCGTTGTCATGACCTAAGACTGTTGGGCGTCTAGAGCCGTTGTCATGACCTAAGACTGATGGGCTTCTAGTGCCGTTGTCATGACCTAAGACTGATGGGTTTCTAACGCCGTTGTCATGACC